GAGAGCTCTAGCGGCCGATCCGGTGATCGCGGAAGGACCAGAGGAGCAGGAGGAGGAGGAGGAGGAGGAGAAGATCCTTCATTTTGAACCAGCCCCACCTGCCCAGACAGATTGTGGCGAAACTATGTGTACAGCGGCCTCATTACCTGGCAAGACGTGTGCGTCGGTATGCCGGTCTATGAAGAGCCAAGGGAGTGATCGTACAGGATGCAAGAAGCCCGTTGGATGTTCGGGAGTCTCTCTAAGGCGCAAAGGACGCAAGTTAACCGGACTACCCAAGAAGCCTGAACCAAACTCTGGGAAAAAACAACGACTGAAAGGTGGAAGCGAAGCACTGAAGGCTGTACCAGTATCCAGTGGTCAGTCTAGCTCGCTTGAAGAGGAGGTACCCGTGGAAGTAATTAGTCCACCTAATGCTATTAGGACAGGCACGGAGAAGAGCTCTTCCCGCTGTGCGGAAAGTTGTTCGCTGCAGAGGGGTCCGTCGAAGTGTCTGACGCGCAAGAGAACCACTGCTTCTTCTGCAGCACAATCACCCAAATCGGAGTTAAAAACACCCTCGCGAACTCAACAGGATGACAAAAGTTTAGAGAAAATAAAGGAAAAGGGGCAACGGGCCTCAGGTGGAGCGGTCCTGAAGACTCCCACACATGTTACAAACAAAATGGACGAGAGCACTCTCCCTCAGCAGAAAAGAGCCTTGCGGGAAAACTCCCAGCTAGAAAGCCCATTAAAGGCACCGTTTTTAGGGGAAATCCAGGCTGACGTAAATACTGTAATCTGTGGACAGCCTAGTCCAGATAAAGGACCATTTGGTACCGAAGTGAATTATGCAGAGATGTGCCGCACAGGAGTACTTTCGGGACTTCCCTTCTCGGACAAAGATTTAGAGGAGGATTACCTATCTTGTTTATCGCAAAAAGGCGAGCTGATAAACCAGACCCAGGCTCAACTTTCCAAGAAGGTTGCTTCAGCTCGAGAGCAACTGGCCAGCGTACTGGACCTGTTGGAAAGAACTGACCAGCAAGACTATACGGAAGAAGAGTTTCTGAGAGAAGTTAAAAAACTCAATTTGGATTCAGACTTTCCAGTAACACCTAGCTACTACGCCACCAGTCTCC